GTTAAGGCTCTGATTCTCAACATTCCTCGTGGGCTTTAAAATAACCGGTTTATAAAGAGAGTCTGGATTTAAGAACTTCCCAAAGTTCACCACAATCTCACATTTTAAGTTGATAATAAGTATGATAATCATCCTTGCATTTGGTACAGCGTCTTATCACGTTGGAACGATGTCTCAAAGAGCTTCACTGAATTTACTGTCGAACGAAGTGACTGTGTATTTGTAGGCAAATGTGGCAACATAATTCCACACAGCCGTGTCCCACAAACAGCTATGAAGCGAGTGACCAATTTTATTTGTTGGCCAGGAAACCGGGAGAAATTCCCTTCTCTTTCCACCTGAACAAGCAGATGCGACCTTATTTTAACGTCTCATCCGAAGGACGGCACCTCCGACAATGCAACACCCACCCCCACCCCCCCACCCAGGGCTGTACTGGAGAGCCAGCTTAGACTATGTGAATTCAAGTCCCGACGTGGGATTTAAACTCACAACCTTCTGATTCGGAGAAGGCGAGAGAGAAGCTGACACATCAAATAGATAATGGTCTTAAGGCGAAGACCACAGGAATTGCGACCATCTCATCCCCGAAAAAGTACCGTTCAGTCAATGACAATAATTGTTTCTTTCTGGCCCCCTTTGCGAGATTGAGAGGAAAAGCTGAATGTTAATGATGAGCTGCATCGTTAATTAACATGACACTCAGTGTCGCCGGCAATATCTTTATAAGATCTGATTGTTCTGAACGAATGAACTGTTTGTCTGAAGTGGCAAAAGCTGTCGTTTTCGGAAACGTGCTATTTCCAAAGGCGTTAGACGTGGAGGATTTGAGGGCCACTGCGCAGAATCTCTTGTCGATTTAGTGAAAGGGGAAGAAACGACGCTTGATCTGTTTTGTTTCACACACCGACCATACAATAAACCCACACCCTCACTGCACTCCCGGGAGCTACAGGACGCGTGCAGTGAAGGGCGCTATATAAATGCAAGTTGTTGTTTCTCCCGTCGTCCCAGACAACAAATTCCCCAAATAAAATTGGTCACTCCCTTCATGGCTTTTTGCGAGACATTGGCTGCCGTGTTTGCCTACAAAGCACACGGTCACTACGCTTTGTAGCATACTCTGTGAAGCGCTTTCAACAAAAACAACAACAACTTGCATTTATATAGTGCCCCTCAAGCAAGGTAGCTCCACAGAACTCTTGAAAGCGTCCTCTTGACGTGAAAGGCGCTGTGCCAAATGTAAGGATTATTATTAATATTATTATTAGTGTTCCCACTCCCCCACGCTTCTTTCTGATCGCAGAGTCCAAAATGAACAACACACACACGCACGTGTGAACGTACTTTGATTCAGGCTGGCATTGTGAAGGCTGAGAGCAAATCGCACACTCCTTACCCTTTTTATCTCCAAATCTATAGCCTCGTATCTGACAGTGTCACATCATAAGCAACTGAACGTCCACCCAACTCCTTGATCCTTGAGTTTTCCCACCTTGCTATTTGTTGGCGACATAAAAGGGATTCCGGCTTTGTGGTTAAAATGCTTTTTAATTCTGAATCTCGCTGGGTTTTTTTTTAATGCACACACACATAGACACAAACTGTGAGTTTGCTTTGAGATGTCTGATTGAGGAGAGGCTTATCAGTGGAGGCAGATACGGCTTTTTCTGTACAAAAACAAAAGCTTTATTAGTTCTCTGCTCGAGCGAGTTCTCACAAGAATCAGCTTAAGGAATAAACCGCAGAGGAGTCTTGCATCATCTTTTTCGTCTGAGATAGCAACAGCGTATGCAAGCTATTCAGGCCCTTGTGCTTTCACACAGCTGGCTGTGTTTTATTAATCAGCCTTCACCTCAATGAAAGAGGCTTTTTTTTATTATCAATTTAACAGGGAAAGATTCTGCATAGGTTCTGCACCTTTGTTTTTCAGATCAAAGAAAAAATTAATTTTTTTTGTAAGTAACAAACCAATCTAAATGGAAATGCATTGCCCGGTGATGCTTGCAGGTTGTGTAAGTTACAACAAAGACGCCTTAAAGATGAGACGTTCTTTCGAAAGCCCCCGCTTTGATACGAATCTGCATTAGTGAAGCAATGAAGCTTAATGAATTGAATCCCTATTTACCTATTCATCCCAGACAGTGTTGTTTTAAATGTTGGGATCTTACGGTTTAAGGTAGGGTGTTCAAATGTCTCAAAAAAAATGCGCTCACTCAATCCACGACTGTTTGTGGGACATTGCTGTGTGCAATTGGCCTCCACTTTTCGCCTACAAAATACAGTCACTGCACTTTGCAATATATTCTGTGAAGCGATTTGAGCCGTCTCGATGATGTGATAAGGCGCTATAGCAAATGCAAGGATTATTATTATTATTACTATTATTTTTTCCGGGTCTGTCCTCGGATGAGGTATTGTGTCCCTGGGCGAAATATTGCCGATGTCTTGAATTGAGCAACAAACTTGAACGAGGAACAATAACATTTTAAAACATCTGCACTCATTAGAGAAACACAGCCATTACTATTTCTCTGGTACTGAGGACTGTGGTCAGTTCAATTTTTTTCAACATGTTCCTGGATTTGGTTTACAAAATGTGGTCACCCTATTTTAAGGTAGTGTTTAGTGTTTACAGTGGGGACCCTTGTTATAACTCGTCTCTGTCTACCGCAGGTTATTGATATAAGTGCTCTGTGCTCTGTGGACTTACTGACTGGCTGATTTCCTGCACCTAATGCACAAGTCCCCTTGGCCTCTTAATGATAATACTGCTTGCATTTGATATAGCGCCTTATCATGTCTTCGAGACGTCTCAAAGCGTTTCACGGAATACACCTTGAAGTGCAGTGACTGTATATTTTGTGGGCCAAACGCGGCAGTCAATTGCGCACAGCAGCCTATCCACAAACAGTTACGGATTGAGTGAGCGCATTTTTTTTTCTGGAGGGTTTATTACCCCCGGAAAAGCCATCCGTCAATTGGTTAACAACTGGGCTCCTACTTACCGCTAGGAGTAGGGGCGTGTGGAGTAAGGAAACTTGCCCAACGCCCTGCCCGGGAATCGAACCCAGGTCCTCTCGCTTGCGTGGCGAGTGCTCTAACAACCGAGTTATGCAACTCCTCTCGGCATCAGCGGTATCCTACCAACTGAGCCGTCGCTTTTCTGCACACGTGCGCAAAGCAGTGGGAAAATCACTGTTTTAACCCCTTGTTACCTGGTTTTTTTTTGGCGGGGTGGGGGAGGGGGGTCATAAAATCAAGCTCCACATTATAGTGGGGTGCACGATAAAAGTGGCTGCTGGCTCAACGATAGTCCCTCTGGGTTGACATGACTTCCTGAGCGCTGGTGTATGCTGACTATGCTCTTGTGTGTGTCGAGAGGTCGCTCGGAGACTGCGAGCCATCGACTGTTTGCTGTGCGCAGAAAGCCATAATTTAACCACCCGCGCTCTACGTGTCATAGAAACGGACCTGCGCTATACTTAATGGTAGGGTGGGAGGGAGGGTAGGAGGGGCTGAGTCAGAAGGACTCCAGGATGGTCTCAATAATAAATAATAATAACCCTTGCATTTGAGACATTGAGACGTCTCAAAGCGCTTCACAGAATCATAAAATTATACAGCACAGAAGGAGGCTATTCGGCCCATCGCGTCTGTGCCGGCTCTTTGAAAAGAGCTGTCCAAATCAATCCCACTCCCCCGCGCTCTCCCCGCAGCCCCCGCAAACTCGCCCTCCCCGAATAACTATCTACTTCTCTCTCAAAGGTTGCTATCGAATCGGCTTCTTTCACAGGCAATGCATTCCAGATAGAAATCATAGAATTAGGGTAATAATAATAATAATAATACACAGGATACACTGTAAAGTGAATGGACTGTAATAATGGACCACCTGGAAGATGCAGGAGCCCGGTCACTGTGTGAGCTCACCTGCCACCTGCTGGAACTGAGGGGAACTGGAGCCGCACCAACATGAACTGGTCAGCACAACACAACCACAATAACACTAATGGTCCTTGCGTTCGATACAGCGTCGTATCACATCGTCCCGACGTCTCAAAGCGCTTCACAGGAGATATGCTGTCAAGCGAATTGACTGTACGTTTTGCGGATGAGACCCGGTAGCCAATTGCGCACAGCAGCGTCCCGCCAACAGTCGTGGATTGAGGGATCAGATTTATTTTTAAGGGATTAAAGCGATCCGCCAATCGACTAACAACCGGGTTCTTACTTGCTGCACGGTAAACAGAGGTGCGTGGAGTAAGGAAACTTGCCTAGGTTTTCGTCCCGCCCGGGAATTGAACCCAGATCCTCTCTCTTGCGAGGCGAGCACGCTAACCACTACTCTACGGGACTCCGTGCTACGGGAGTTCCAAAGAGCGTGGGGCAGAATGCTTGGAAACTCCGTGGGCAAAATTAAAAAGATGAATTAAAATTAAATTATAAAATTAAAATAAAAAGTTCTGCTGTTAAACACCCAGCGAGTTTATGCCAGACTTTCTCCAGTAGAGACTCTGTACTAATCACGAACCTTGTGGGAGGGTGTAGTGCAATGTGAGCGGACATCGTTGCATTGCCCAAGACATCGCTAATCTCTTGAAACGTTTTTCATTACTCGGTTACGCTTCAAGCTGATTGTTTGAGTGACTTGTTTCAGTGCACTTTGAGACGTCTCCATGACGCAATAAGGCGCTATATCAAATTGGCTTTTTCAACAGGGCAGTCACTGGGGGTGAGGTGGGGGAGGGAGGAAATCATTCACTCACGCCCAATCTGGGGTTATTTGCGATTGTGGATACAAGAGCATTTCAAAAAAAAGCTTAATAAGAAGGGAAATTAAAATTAGTCTCGCAAATTATTAGACTGAGATAATAATAATTAGCAGTGAATGATTTGCAGGCAGCATCAAGTGCGTGGCAATGTGATCAGACTAATAAGAACACTTAAACAAGAGTAATGCCAAATGCCCCCAAAAAACAAACAAAATAGCGGTAATAATAAGGTCACGTCAATAATTTTAATTAAATCAATTATAGCGGTCCTGCCTCAGTTCTGCCAACATGCCGCCAGCCAGGCTCCATCTGGATGGTTTCAGCCTTCAGAATGATAAGGGGAGAGTATTTAAAGGGATGTGCTGGACCCGAGAGTTTATCAGTTGAAGATTTGCCTTTAAAGAGGGAACGTATTCTTCGCTCGCTGTACACCAGGTAAGAGTTTTATAATAATAATAATCCTTGCTTTTGATATAGCGCCTTATCACGTCGTCGAGGTGTCTCACAGCGCTTCACGGAACACACTGTAAAGTGAATTGACTCTGCGCTTTGTGTTTAAAAACAATTAACTAAATTAAATTATAAGGTCAAAATAAAACGTTCTGCGATTAAGTCCCCAGTGCGTTTATGACAGACTTTCCCCAGTAGCATCTCTGTACCCAACATGATAACCTTGTGTCTCTGTGCGTCTTGATCTCTTTCAGGAGAAGCCATGAACTTTCTCAGTGGACATCCTGCCCGGCTCGTTTTACTGCTTGTCGCCCTTCTAGAGCTCGAAGCTTTGCCCTCGATAGACAGGTAACGTCTGGGCTTTTCCAGAACTTTATCTTCGCCGAAATTAAGCGCGTCGCTGATCGACGAGGCTGAATAGAATTCACGAGCTTGAACTGCAGCCCAAAGTTCTATTCGAATGATATTTGTTCCGGTTGGTGTAAAGCGTTGAGTGTCTGCGCGCGTTACTTTGCTGTAAAAATCTGTGTGTGTCATCAACTTACAACAACTTGCATTTATACGGCTTCCCTCACGCAGTGTAGCGTCCCAGAGCGTCCTATTAGTGTCCCTACTATTCTATTGTAGGCTTGAATGTATATTGTATTGTGTTATCGGATCGCTTTCCGGGGGTAATAATCCGCTCAAAAAACTAAATTTAAAGAAATAATAATTTGGTCACTCAATTCACGACTGTTTGCACGATTGGCTGCGTGTTGCGCCCAGAAAATATACAGTCCACTCACTTTACAGTATATTCTGAGAAGTGCTTTGAAACGACTCGAAGACGTGATAAGGCGCTATATCAAATGCAAGGATTATTATTATTATTATTATTATTATTATTATTATCATTTTTACCTCTGAGGATGCAAAGAGGAGGAAATGTGGACAGGGAGGGTGTTCTGAGTGTTTAGAGGAACAAGAGAGGGGAAGTTCACAAGACTTATCTGGAATAGATTTGATTATTGTTAATAATAATAATAAAGTAAGCAAAGTAAAGATATGAGAGAGCGAAGGCCACGAAGGGAAGATGAGAAGTCTACTCTTGTACCGGGTCCAGTGGAATCACTTATGAAAGCCAATCTGTTAGTAACCATTTTAATATCAATGGAGTAGGGAAATGTGCTTAAAGGGGAGCGTGACAAGTTAAGAGTGACCAGAGATTTGTGAATGAGAAACTTCTCCCAGCAGGAGCGAGAGACACAGCGATGGGCTCTTCACCGGTGAGTTCAGCAAACTACCGACCACCCTGGCTGCCAGAAACTTCATCAGTTCCCTCCTCGTGCCAAAACGCAGGTCAGAAAGGTCATTGTTATTCAGTTGGATAAAATGTGGGGGTGAGGGGGGGGGAGGAGGGCAGAAACTCCCTTCTCTTTTCAAATAGTGCCATAAGATCTTTAACATCCACTTAAAAAGGCACAGAGGGGGAACAAAGGCTACCGACTGAGTCAGGGTGACACCTAGATTGCGCGTCTTTGTGTTAGAGTTTCCGTGTGAAATAAATGTGTTTGTTTTTCAACCTTCAGTTCAGTGAACCTTGGATTGAGTAAGCGCCAGTTGGGAGATTCTATGTTCACTTCCAGGTATTCCAGTTACTTGAGGACACAGGCCAAGCTGAAGCAAATAGCAGCTTTATTGCAACACGTTCAGACATTCAAAAGAAGGTATTTTATTTCCTTAGTGCAGTATACCCGGGTTGGGGGGGGGGGGGGGGCGGGAGGGGGGAAGGTTATTGGGGGGTTGGGTGGGTGGAGGAAACCGTTGAGTTGTCGGAGGTGCCGTTCTTCGGATGAGACATTAAACCGAGGCTCTTGTCTGGCTGTCCGGGTGCAGCTTCTCTCTCCCCTAATCCTGGCCAACAATCCTCCTGATAAACTTCGCTTACTGACCCACACCCTATTCCTTGGGAGGTCTCAGTTTGGCACAATATCTGGTCACGTCTGTCCAGTTAAGATTCTCTCACTGCCCAATTCATAGAATCATAGAATACCACAGCACAGAAGGAGGCCATTTGGCCCATCATGCCTGTGCCAGCTCTTTGGAAGAGCTTTCCAATCAATCCCACTCCCCCGCTCTTGCCCCATGTCCTTGCAAATTTCTTCCTTTCCAAGTACCTATCCAATTCCCTTTTGAAAGTTGTTATTGAACCTGCTTCCACCGACCCTTTCAGGCAGTGCGTTCCAGACCGTAACTCTCAACTCTCTTAACAATTCCGTGTGGTTTCAGCAACGATGACAACCTGGAGAAGCGTTTCAACACGAGTGGCTATAGAATGGAGGCGGAATGGGCGATCCGTGAACTTGACCAGTTCTGCGTTCCCTGGTTCCGAGACTACCTCTTCAGTGCTAGGTACGGAACTCACATCACAGGGCTCCCACATGTTGGTGAGGAACCAGCTAGAAATTGCTGCTTGGACACTTGGACACTCCTTCTCCCCCCACCCACCACCTCCCCAGCCCCCCCCCCTAGCCCGCACCCCGTCATGTTGAGGGTGAAATTGCTCCCTCTGGTGGCTGAGGTGGTAAAGGTTGGATGGATGAGTTCCACAGGGCATTCTTCATCCGAACCTCCATTGTTCCATAATAATAATCCTTGCGTTTGATACAGCGCCTTATCACGTCTTCCAGACGTCTCAAAACGCTTCGCAGAATATATTGCAAAGTGTAGTGACTTGCATATTTTGCGGGCGAAAGGCGGCAGCCAATTACGCACAGCAGTGCCCCACAAACATTTGTGGATTGAGTGACCAAATTATAATTAATAGTATTATTAAATAGAGCAATGCAGCACGGAAATTGTGCAATTTGGCCCAATTAGTCTGTGCAGGTGTCAACACTCCATCACGAGCCACCGCCCCTCCTATTCCCCTCTCCTATTCCCCTCTATTCCCTCCTCCCTTGTAGGTGCATCAAGCCTTTTCTCTTGAACGCATCGACACTTGACACTTGCTTCGATCGCACCATGCAGCAGTGAGTTCAGCCTTCTCACCGCCCGGTTCGTGAAGGTGTTCTCGTGTGCCCCTTGTGATCTCTGTGCCCTTCAGTTTGCGATGGTGGTAAGTGGTGGGTAACAGGTCCTCGCGCACGTCCGCCTGAGCTAAAAACATCGTCGCTTTTTCTTGTCCTCAGTAATGACCCCGAGGGAGTGCTCCAGTTGATCGACCAATTCCTATGCCCAGCTTTCGGCCGGTTGATCGCGGACCTGAAACTGGGGACTTTGCTACCGGCCGACATACCGATGGAGAAATAGGAGGAGGAAGAGGAGCTGGCAAAGCCGCCAACCACACACACCGTCCCCGCGCTGTGTGCTCGCAATTCTGGTTCCAACCCAATCACTGATGGTTGGGTCCTTGAGACCCACATAGCCAATGGTGTGTTGTTGCTGAAAGTGCCTTTAATTTTACTCTTCATAAACATGTACATGGAATTTTCCTCATTCTCGTTGTTTTTCCCCTTGTTGCTGAACTCAGACATTTAATAAATAAAAGTACTGTATCCGTAGCAACCTCTTGTTCTTCTTCCAGCTCTCTCCCCCACCCCCGATCCCCCTCCACTTATGGTTGTAACTCAAAGTGTTCAATCTGTGTTCAAACTTATTTATTCTCGCTTGCTACCGACTGTCAAGGCCCTCGTGAGAAGCCATGTAAGCTCGCGGGTAGCAGTCTCATTCAATATCACACGGATTACCTTTGGGGTAAAGCTGAACGGAATTTTTACGCCCTGGTGCCCTGAGTTTCTAATCCGAGTTGTATGGTCTAGTATTGCCAACTGCTACGATAATAGGCATTTTGCCCACAAAATATACAGTCACTACACTTTGCAGTATATTCTGTGAAGCTCTTTGAGACATTTCTGAAAGACGTGAAAAGGCGCAATATCTAATGCAAGGATTATTGTTATTATATTTTAAGGGATACATGCCGTCTTAGGAACATAGGAATAGGAGTAGGGCATTCAGCCCCTTGAGCCTGTTACGCCATTCTATTAGATCACGGTCGATCTATACCTCAACTCCAATTACCCGCCTTTGCCCCATATCGCTTGATACACTGACCTAACAAAAATCTATTCACCTCATTCTTGAAAATTTGAATGGATCCAGAATCCACAGCAACTTGGGGGAGAGATTATCTTCTCAGTTAAGTAATTCAATTTGAGCAGTGTCGAGTTTTCCTGAATCTTAAGGCAAAATGGGCTAAAAAAAAACATGGAATTTTAGATTTACAGACGTTCGATAAAAGAGGAATGTTTGTAGGGTAAGGAGTTGAGGCACTGAGAGGGACAGTGGGATTAGACTGGATGGTTCAAGTAGAGAAAAATGCTAGTGCAGACTTCGAGGCGTCTCAAAGCACTTCACAGTAAAGTGATTTTGTGGGCAACTCAATTTAGAACATCAACAACTAGCGTTCCTCCACCAGGATAGCGCCTCGAAGCGTTGCAAGCCGTGCAGTCGATGCTGACGGAAACAGAGCATAAGGAAAGCAGAGTGTAATCACTGCTTCCCCGCCATCCCACCAGCGCAGCACTGCCATTCAGCCCAGACCTCGCAAGTTCCAAGTATGTTCAGCTGTTGTGAGGATTCACAATTTGCTAACGTCAATACCCAGGAGAACACTCCCACGGAGAGGACGAAAAATCATGGTTGACTCCATGGCTGTTTGTGGGGCGCTACTGCACGCAAATTAGCTGCTGGGTTCGCCTGCAAAATGCACAGTCACTACACTTTGCAGAAAAGCTTTCAGACCTTTCGACGTGAAAAGGAGCTATATCAAATGCAAGGAGTATTATTATTATCTTCATTGGGCTTTTTGACTGCTTTCTGCACCTGCAAAATAGCTTTACACTTCATACATCCATTGCCCGACATATCCTATTGTTTATCACTCTTAATGTGGAGGCATTACCCTGCGTGAAGGGCGCCAAGTTGTTGTATTCCTATTTGCCGTTCTTTACCATAAGTGGCTATTGAGGCTGGATCAACACCTGGATAAATAAGCATCTAAGCAGGGGAAACATTCAGGGAGATGGGGAGAGAGCTCGAAGTGAGATTAATTTCAACAAAGTGTGGTTCAGAAAATCAGCCATGGTGGGCTCTTCATGTGCAGGAAATGTTTCTGTTTCTGCGTTGTGTTGTCCAAAGTTCACTATCTGGTTAAATAATTAAACACTTGCTGTATTACCTGTGAGAAAGTGTGGCAGATGCTGAACAATGGATGAACTATTTTCACATACTGGATTAAACATTGTTAATAATAATAATCCTTGCAGCGCCTTTCTTGCTGGGAGGGCACCTCAAAGTGCTTCACGGGATATACTGTTAAGTGTAGTGACGGTGTGTTTTGTAGGCAAACGTGGCAACCCAATTTGCTCACAGCAATGAGCCCACAGACAGCCGTGAACCGAATGAGCAATTTTATCTGGGGCATTCTTGGCCAAGACACCAGGAGAAACTCTCTTCTCTGTTCAAATAATGCCACTGGATCTTTACACATCCATCTGTACAGGCAACAACAACAACAAAATTACATTTGTAAAGTGCCTTCCACATCGGGAGGACGTCCCAAGGCGCTGAACAGTTGGAGATCAGTCCCAAGCCGGCAGGGGGGTGGGCAGAGTTGGGATGAGGGAGAGCAGAGAGGTAGGAGTGCGACTGAAGGCACAGTCGAAAAGGAGGGTCTTGAGTTGTGCCTTGAACGAGGCAAGTGGGGTGGTGGGGGGAGGGGTGGGAAAGTCGAAGGGAGTGTAGGATGGAGTTGCAAAGGGTGGGGGCAGACAGGACCTCAGTTAATTGACGTACGATACTTCTAACAATGCAACATCTCCCACCGCACAATTCGCTGACGCAAAGGCATGAGTGATAGTGACTGAGCCAGGCTGACACGTGACTAGTCGGAGGGGAGAGGAATTATTTCACAAATACCCCAGAAAAACTCACATTAACCAATGCGTTAACTCGCGTTAACTGTGTTAACTAGTGTCAGGCCTGGAAAGATTATTTTCCATAATAGGGTAAGTTTCAAACTGCGGGGCACCTGATTCTATTAGGTGTCATCCTGGTTCAGTAGTAACATTCTTGCCTCTGAGTCACAAGGTTGTCGGTTTAAGCCCCACATCGGGACTTAGAATCACGTAGTTTAATCTGACTCTCCAATGCAGTGCTGGGGTTGGGGGGTGGGTGTTGCATTGTCAGAGGTGCCGTCTTTTGGATGATGTTAAACCAAAGTCCCATCTGCCTGTTCAGGTGGACATTAAGCACGGCGCTCTTCGAAAAGAGAAGCGAGTTTCTCTCTCCCGTTGTTCTGGCCAACACTCGCCCAAATAAAAAAAAGTCACTCTCTCCATGGCTGTCTGTGGCACATTGCTGTGTGCACACAGGCCTGTTCATTACACCCACAAAGTACACAGTTGATCCACTTTACAGTCTATGGTGAGAAGCGCTTTGAGACGTCTCAACGACGTGATCAGGCGCTGTGTCAACTGCAAGGTCTATATGTTATTGTCAGCCTCTCAGTTCAGTTCCAACCTTGTATTTGCGGGAGGAATGCAGAACAGCCTCATTAGTTTTTATGGCTTTGACGAAGCAGGGAAAGGTCGGTTGCAGATGCGACGCACTCAGAGTCACAAGGTGTAATAATAACGAGATAAGGCTAGGAAGCAAAGGTTGAGCTTTCAAGCTGGGCTGGTTAGTTTGTAGAACTTTCAGAGGCAGAGCAGGTCCATCGAGTCCGTCCATGCAGCGCTCTATGGGAATATTGGAAGCGAAGGGTTGATTTTTGTTGGAGAGTTTTTCTTTTGTGACCTGAGGACCTTCTTTCCTTGATCTTTGCTGGGGTTCCCTTCAAATTCCAGGGACAATGAAAACAAAGCACTTACTTCAGTGCTACAGAGGCCTCTGGTTATTCCTGTGCTTCTTCTTGTCTCTTCAGAGTGTAGTTAATCCACTGCAGTGCTCTCAATTCACCGGTAACTTTCAAACCCTTGAGTTTCAAATCTTCAACCCTTTCACTAATTCATCTTCTGTGTTTCTTTTTCAAGGCTCGCGTCAATATCCTCCTCTTCGATTGCGCCTTCAGTCACCCACCTACCACTATCCTCCCTGCCCTCCACCCCTCCTGCTCCCAACAAACTCCGGCTCGAGTCCAAATCTCTGACTGTCCAGTGCCTTGGGACGTCTTCCTGACATGAAAGGTGCTGTACAAATGTATTTTGTTGTTGTTGTTGTTTTAGCATGTTGTGTGGACGATTTAATTCTGGTCGTGCCAGAGGACAAACAGCCTCAAGCCGTCATTTCTCCGATAGTCAAGAAATCTACCGATATCACTGTGACGATAAAAAACCAGGTCGATGTGCCGATGCTTACTATAATCGGAGACAATCTGGTGCTCAAGGACTCCATTGACTATGAGGTAAGCAAAACTAAAATGAAGCATTTTGTTACACGGAGTGACACGACACAGAAATAGTCCTTTCGCCCAACTATGTCATTCTTATGTTTATACCCCCACCTCTCCTATTCCCCTCTTCTGCACCGCTTCTATTCCCTTTCTCCCTCGTTTATGCATCGAGTTTTCTCTTAAATACATTGGCGCGATTTGCTTCGAACACAGCTTCCGCCAATGAGTTTCACATTCTCACCACCCTCTGCATGAAGCAGTTCCTCCTAAACTCCCTTTCAGATGTACTACTAGTTATCTTATCATTATACCCTTTGTAACAACAGAATGCTTAAAACATACGTTAATGTGGGAGAACGTGTAATGGTATGTGGAAACAGCGAAACATATAAATAGGAGGAGGCCATTCAGACTCTCAAGCAGTCTATAAGATCATGGCTGATCTGTACCTCAACTCCAATTACCCACTCTTCCGCTGTATTCCTTAATACACTGACCTAACAAATATCTATCCACCTCAGTCTTGAAGATGTGAATTGATTCAAAGTTCCACAGCCTTTTGGGGGCGAGCGTTCCAGATTTCCACTGCCTTTTAGGTGAAAAATTGCCTCCTGATTTCACTTCTAAATGGCCTAGCTCTAATGTTAAGATTATGCCTCCTTGTTCTGGATTCCCCCACCAGAAGAAACAGTTTCCCTATCCAATCCTTTTATTATTTTAAATATCTCAACAGATTACCCCTCAGCCTTCTAAACTCAAGGGAATAGAGACCAAATTTATGCAACCTGTACTCACAATTTAACTCTTTTAGCCCTGGTATAATTCTGGTGAATCTGCATTGTATCCCCTCCAGAACCAATATATGCTTCCTGAGGTGCGGTGTCCAAAACTGATCACAGAACTCTAGATGGGGCCTGACCAAGGCTCTATAGGTGAAGCATCATTTCCTCTCCTTTATAATCCAGCCCCTTGAGATAAAGACCAAGGGGGTTGGAACGCTAATAAAAGTTCTTACCCCAAGACCCAAGAGTTTTTTTTTGTAATATTTGTTAATTGGTAAGGGAAACCTAGTTAAAGAATTTTCAATCATCATCTGATTATAACTTAATATTGACTGGACCGACTTTTGTTTTTTTTCCCCTCAGAGTCCAGGAATAAAGTGCTGGATGTGAAATTTCTATGTTCTTCAACAAATAGCCCGGTAAGCAATAGTTTAGACTTAACCATTGTTAAAGTGGCCTTTTGCATTGTATTGAGTATCAAAATACTGGTTGAGTAAATAGAAGCGAGTTTCTCCCCAGGGCCAACAATTCCCCAGATAAAAGATTGGTCATTCACTTCATTGCTGTTTACTGGACAGTGCTGTGTACAAACTGGTTGCCATATTCATCTATGCAAGAATATTATAGAAGAGTGGAGTACTTGTTAAGTGCTATAAATCCACGTACAGAACGCGAACCTTTGGGAAGCTGTTTTTCTGAAGCTCTGATCTGCATATTACATTTAAACATGTGTTAGTTTAATCATCAAAGTCTTGTTGAAGTGTTCTGAGATGCTACCCCGTGTGAAGGGTGCTGTATAATTGCAAGTTGTTGTTATTGTTGTTGATGATGATGTCTAATAATTTTGGTTACTTCTGGCTAGGAGGAATCGTTAGATTTCTATTTTCAGATTACGAATGTCAATGATAATCCTCCAAAATTCCCTAACACAGTTATGGATGTTGAAATTGGAGAGGTAAGGTTGATGACATGAAGTCATTTTCATATTGAAAAGATTACAATGTTTTTATTAATGTCATTTCATTGTTCTATAAATGTACTAAACTGTGCTTGTATCTGGGAAGAGAAGTGGCTTCGCTACCAGCCGTAGGGTGTTGTGCAATGGAAAGCCTGATTTTACCCCTGCAATTTATCATTACAGTACATTGATTGGAATCGCATTTTTCGTAGGGTTTCATTTCTTGCAGGGCTCACAATTTTTGATAACAACGCATGTTACGGGTGTCGTATTTTTAGTCGCGTCATCATGCCCTGGCACCTCCCTACCTCTCCGACCTGCTTACTCTTCAACCCACTATCATGCATGACCCTCGTGCGCTCTGCCCCGAAACTCTGGAACACTTCCTCTATCCCACCACCTTTTCCCCTCCTTTCCCAGATCGTGCCTGAAGACCTTCCTGTTCGACATTGCCTATGGTCACCTTCCCCCCCGGCTCGGGGTCATGCTCTACCAATGTCAAGCGCTCTGAGACATCTCCCTGTGTGAGGGGCGCTAAATAAATGCAAGTTGTTGTTGTTGTTATTCTGTCACCCATCAGAAGACGTCCATGTTGCCTTCTGCGATTTTCAGTTCCTTTCAAAGACCAAAGTATAATGAGCCGACTTGGGGCCTTTTTGCTTATGGAAAGTAAATCAATTTGCAGGATAAGGGTTGAACCCAGATCAACACTGTACTTTATGGTTTTCAAGCTGACAGGCTATTCCTGGCTTATATTGTCTTGGGTTCTTGTTACATTCATATTTGCTTAGGTAAGAAAGGATATTAAATGCCAATTCCGCACTTGAGTTGAATTTAACATTTAAAAAATATATATATTTCTTAAAGCTGTTTCCAATTGGACCTTGGATTACTGTTTCGGCCAACGACGCTGATGGAGACCCCATTGCTTACAGTTTGAACCCAAAGTCGGTAAGTACCAACATGCAGTTTCATTAAAAGTTCCTACATCGCAATAACGTGCACAACAAATCTTACGTGTTTCGAATTGTTTTTAAACACAGAGTGGAGCTGACTATTTCATTTTAAAAAATGTGAATAACGCTGAAATCAGCCTGAACAAAGCACTAGACTACGAAGAGGTTAAGAACTTGCAGCTGATCTTGCAAGCGGAGGTAAGATTTTTCTCTCTACACTGTATCTCGTAGCTACGGTGAATTACTTTTAAGATTTGTTTCAGCACTGAAAGGAGCGCTGGCTCACTGGCTGTTTGTCAATTTATCAGGATCAAGGTAACCCTCCACTAAAAGAGACAGCCACAGTGACAATCAACATTAGGGTGTTAGACATTGATAACAAGCCTCCAAGCTTCCAGCCATGCAAGTTTCCTTCAAAGAACATCTGCGTCAATGCAGTTTATAGTGGAGATGTCACCATAAAGAAGCCAGAGGTACCAAACTAATTGTATGGGCAATCATTGCCTATCTCTCTCTCTTTCTCTCTCTCTTGTTTTAATTGCAATGATCGGATCTGCTTTAATCTGACTGTCTTACTTGGCTGCAGACTGGCCCACTGACACTGACGCCTGGACCTCTTTATGCTCTTGACGGCGACAAAGTACTTAATGAACCCATCGTATACGAGATCATAGATGGTGAGTAAATCTAGTTTGGCCTCGATGCTTACAATGTCACTTGGGCTTCAGGTACCAAAAACATCGAAAGGTAACAACGTCAAAGCCTGCAGCTTCCGTGGGAAGATTGAAATAATCAGGGATTTGTTCAAAAAAATCAGGGTTAATAATACCTCAATAAAATAATAATAATTTGGTCACTCAATCTACGCCTGTTTGTGGGACACTGCTGTGCGCAATTGGCTGCGCATTTCACCCACAAAATATACAATCGTTTCACTTTGCAGTATTTTCTATGAAGCGCTCTGAGACGTCTCAACGGCGGGATAAGGTGCTGTATCAAATGATTATTATTATGTTATTATTATTTGGAATTAGAAGTGAACCTTTTGCTCAGATTGAATTAGGTATTGCAGTCTTGCTTGAATGTTTGAAATGTTGGAGGGATGGTTACATGCATTGAGTTAAATTGTCCTTCATGTGCTTTGTTTTTATTTGCTGTTCTTTTTCCATTATGTAGGAGACCAGAACAACCATTTTAAAATTGATGCAACTAGTGGAAACATAACATTGGTCAACGTCATTGACACCTTAGACCCAGTTGTACTAACAGTCATGGTGCGTATAAGTGTCTCTATTGTTTTGAAATATGTCACTATGGGAAAAGAGTTCAGTCTTACCCACCTCACCAAAGGCATTTTGGGCTGAATTTTTACCCACAATTTCTCTGCAGAAACACACATACAACACACAGATACATCGCATTTAGGGACTGTATTTTGTAGGCAAATGCGGCAGCCAATCTGCACACAGCAATACTCCATATACAGCACCTCCTTCAATACAGTGCACCCCCAGCACTGCACTGGAGTGTCACCCTTGATGTGGGGCTTGAAACAACCACTGTCTGACTCAGAGGCAGAGTGCTACTGGGTTGGCATAGCAGTGCGAGTGGTAGAAAGGCATTTAACCTTTGTTTTGCCATTCCACAGGCTTCCCAGCAGAATGATAAATATAAGTACACGACAACCACTGTTACCATCAAAGTCTTGGAAGTAAATCACAATAAACCTACGTTTGCAACACAACCGTACACTGGAATTGTAATGCTGAACTCAGAGGTTGACAGCATTGTGGTGGAGAAAGGGACGAAGCCTTTGATCGTTCAAGCTGAGGATGCAGACTTTCCCGCGGTAAGTTCATTTTCAAATGTGATTGTTAGAGAAGGTTGTTTAGTACAACTTACAGTTTGTGTGTGATTTTGGTGGATCCCAGTCAATCTTATTAGGAGTTGTTGCCCAAATATCCTGTTTGCCTTGTTTATTGCTGCCATCCAACCCGTTGTTGTTGAACACATTGAATAGGGTGGTGCATTGGCAGGACTTGGAAGGGCAAACCAGTCACTGGGGTTAGGAAATCCTCCCACTCAGCTCCTGTTAACCCTGCAAGCCAAAGCCTAATAGGTAAGGAGGTCCTAGCTACGCAAGCAGCAGGAAAGCTTGTAGTGAATGCCCTCAATGGCAGGCTATGTGTTTTTAGTTGGTTAAACTCCAATGCACACACTGAGATTCCCAAGCCTTGGCTCCTGCCAACCTAATACTTTTCGGAATTAGGTAAACAGGATGCATCCCTCCAGGAAGAGAGTGTGCATTCCATTCCAACAATCTATCTCTGGAATTCCCATGTGTTGGAGGGATGCATGGAATTCTCAGCTTGGTTTGGACAATCTTAAGCACGGGGATGGATTTCCATATGCATCACACACCTGGTTAACCAAACAAAATTGTTTATTGAGCTTCCTCCCCACCCAGCTCTATGAAGGCCCGGCATAGCGAGCTTAAAAGGTGAGAGGGGTAAGATCTCATCAGTATGAGTAGTGGGTATATCCAGGTCCATATCACCAGAACGTACAAACTGCACAGAGCCTTCAGAACAAAAATGTTTTAACAGCGCTGTGTTTTTATTTTGTCTTCTTCAGTTTTTCAATCCTTCCATAACGTATGAGATTAAACCCAGTGACAAATTCAAAATAACCAGAGATGGGTTTATCTTTACAAAGGTGGTGCTCTCCAATCCAGGTGAACTGATTAAACTCAAGGTAAAGCTTTGATTCAATTAAACTCCACAATGAAAGTTATTTTCCGTTGGCGGGGCAAGGGTACCTATAGAAACGCGGTGGGCATATTTCATTCTCACAAAGCCACAGATTCAATTCAATGCAGTGCTGGTGGGAGCGCTGCATTCATAGAATCATAGAATTATACAGCACAGAAAGAGGCCATTCGGCCCATCTTGTCTGTGCCGGCTCTTTGAATCCCACTGCAATGTCGGAAGTGCCATCCGTTGGATGAGACATTAAATCTTGGCCCCGTCTGCCTGATCGTTAAAGATCCCATGGCGCTATTCGAAAAAAGAAGAGAATTTCTCACGTCGTCCTCCCAATCCGGATAATATAATTTGTCTGTTTGTGGGACATTGCCTGCTGTGTCCAAATTGGCTGCTGTGTTTGCTTGCAAATACACAGACACTGTACTTACACTTTAAAAAAAATCTGTGAAGCACTTTGTGAAGTTTCGAATGCATAGATTATTATTATTATTATTGAGAAATAAAACAGCACATTTTGAAATGGGAAAAAAGTGACATTTGGAATATTAGCAGTTTGATTTCAGAAGGAGGGAAATGACCCGAAATATCGGCTAACTCTTGCAAGTTGTTGACGCGCAGCAGTCGATGAATGTCTCGGACTTGTTCTGTGAATCGAATGCATCCTCTCCAGGGCTCAGGGAATTCGGGGAATACTTTCAATGTCTCACTGCGACTAAAGCAAAGTCATTTGTCATTGTGCAATATGCAAGTGAAGTGCAAGGTATGTTTGCTGTCGTTTCACAGATAATTGCTCTGGATGAGACATCCAAAGAAACTGCTGAATGCGATCTCGAGGTGCAGGTTAGCAACGCTGATGGTAAATATTACTTCCCGTCTTCAAATCATACATCCGCGAAGTGCTCCGGGATGCTAGCCCGCGTGAAGGGCGCTATATAAATGCAAGTTGTTGTTGTTGTTGAATCAGATCTCAATAGACTCAACTGAAATATTTTCTCGGAGTCTCAACCTTAAGCCCATTGGTCTTAAAATGTAAGAGTCTTGATTTTGAAGCCAGTTCTTTTTAAGAACCACAGAAAACCGGCCTCAGAATCAAGAGTCTGAGTCGTTTATAGGTCTGACCCAAATTTGGGAGCGAGGCACGCAAAGTTCCCTGCAGAAACCTCAGGTCACATTTTGGGTGCATTCAACCCCACTGTCTACCAGTGTTACCATGACTGTTTGTGGCACACTGCTGTGCGCAATTGGCTGTCGCGTTTCGCCCACAGTCAATTCACTTTACAGTATATTCTGTGAAACGCTTTGAGACTCTCGAAGACGTGATAAGGTGCTATATCAAATGCAAGGATTATTATTATTATTATTATTATTATTATTATTATTATCGTTATTATACCACAGCCACTGGCTGACAATGTAGGCCACATTGTGCATGTTAGCTCCAGTCACCCAGAGGCATAGTTGTCAAGAATATAATTTGCAGAGCTGTTGAACAACATTAATGTCCTGGTACCTTGCGTGTGACAGTTCAATACTATAATTCTGTCCTCGTCTCTCAACATTTGACAAGTCACTGGGGAGCAAGGAGGTTATGTTAAAGCCCCAGGTTTGAACGGCGCTTTGTGTAGAGCTCGTGTGGGTCGGTACTGAGTTTGTTTGGGCGATTCCAGAAAGGGAAAGGTGTAGTTTGTAATTTTCAAGCACGGACCTGTGTGGACAATCTGTCACGTAACCGTAGACAAGGGTTCCTCTGTAAAAAAAGAACCTTTACTCTGGTGGCTGTCCTGCTCAGCTGTGAATGTACAGGGAGGGTAAGGTTGGAATGGAGGTGAAGTGCGCCTTAGAAAACAAGGCTTATCATTCTGCAAAATATGGAATAATCAAGTTATTTTACCATCGTTAAGTGTGGTCAAAGATACCCTATAATCCCACCCTTCTGCCCTTTCTCGAGCACCCATCTAATTCCCCTTCAAAAGAATTTGTGCCTGAACAAGGCGGACAATTCCCCCCATTCCAACCATTAGGCCATTATTGTGGAGTCCTGTAGCTCAGTGGTTAGAGCACTCGCTTTGCAAGCGAGAGACCTGAGTTCAATTCCAGACAGGGCGAAACCTTGGGCAAGTTTCCTTACTCCACACAGAGCCTAATAATAATCCCTCCAAAACTAAAAAAAAAAAAAAACAATAATTAAATCGGTCATTTTCAATCTACGACTGTTTGTGGGACATTGCTGTGCGCAATTGGCTGCCGGGTTCGCCCACAAATATGCAGTCAATTCACTTTACAGTGTGTTCTGTGAAGCGCTTTGGGACGTCCTCCAGACGTGAAAAGCGCTATATCAAATGCAAGGATTATTATTATTATTTTACGCTTTCTGTTCTGACAATTAGTTTGGGGGTCAATGAGTTTTAATGTTTTAATGAGTTGATCTTTAATTCAGCCACAACTGTGAGACCGACCACAGGCACTGGACCAACAAAACCAACCAATCAGCCTCCAGGTACTGGGCCAGCAAAACCAACCAATCAGCCTCCAGGTACTGGGCCAGCAAAACCAACCAATCAGCCTCCAGGTACAGGGCCAGCAAAACCAACCAATCAGCCTCCAGGTACTGGGCCAGCAAAACCAACCAATCAGCCTCCAGGTACAGGGCCAGCAAAACCAACCAATCAGCCTCCAGGTACAGGGCCAGCAAAACCAACCAATCAGCCTCCAGGTACAGGGCCAGCAAAACCAACCAATCAGCCTCCAGGTACTGGGCCAGCAAAACCAACCAATCAGCCTCCAGGTACAGGACCCACTACTGCTAAAGCACCAATAGTATCTCCAGGATCCAGCTCACCAAAGCCCCCAGCACCTGGATCTACTTCAGGTAGGACCATGGGGTGCAGACATGAAAGCCTCCCATCCAGTTGGCTCTCAGAAGTCATGCCAAAGCCAACCACTAAAGCTGACCTCAGTGAATCAGTAATTTGCCCAGAAACCTCAACTGGATTCCCAAATAAGGGGCACGTTCCCAAAGTTCTGGTCTTGCCCTGGTTAAAGACACGGGAACACAGTGTGTAAAACATGTTCACAGAGAGTGCTTTCCCAATGTCTATTGGTATCCCAACCTCACCCCGAGGTCCCTTCACATTACGGCGCAACTTCTAAACCCTGCCCGGCATGGACTGTAGCCCTCATTAGCTCCAGCATCATTATACAGAGAGCAGCTCAACAGAACAAAGCAGTGTGTAATAGAAAACTATTGAAATTAACAAGTGAAGGAGAGAGAGGGAGAGCGAGGGAGATTAAGTAACATTATACTTGTCAATACTATGCCATTAATCTCAAAATTAATAACACAAGAATCCAACAAAAATATTAAGTTAATGAATTTATAATGTTGACCATCAGTAAAAAGACTCTTGCAATGTACATGTACTACCACATTTACATGACTTACCATACACATAGAGTCCCATGATAAAATGCCAGCCACACTCACCCAAATCATTGCTAGGATGGTTTTTTTGTTCAATGAAGGGTACATTTTGAAGACCCATCTCATGGGACATCCATCCTATGAGCTGGCTGATCAGTGTCGCATGAGAGTGAGTTGCACTGAGCCATCTTGAGAGATGCAAATGGTATCTCCAAGGTACACATAATCTATTCCATTTATGCAATAATATACTTTGGTCTAAAACACTACAATTTCTAACCAGATTCTTTACTAAGAAGTGGTGTTTCCATGGCTCAGAGTACAGATTTGCATGACTCTGATTTCTTATTAAGCAATCCTATTACAAATCTTGCATTTTAGACCCAGCTATGAATTAATCCGGCAAAGAATTGGGTTAGGTAATTTTAATGAACATTTTTTTAAGGGGAACAAATTGGGTTTAATGGTGTGTGATAGCCATTTGTGGCTCAGCTCTGAGAATAGCAGGTATCAGGCGTCAATGGGGCTACAGCTCAATGATATGGATTCACTACATTCCTGCTCCAAACCCTTCTTTTGAAGTAAATTTGAAAGGAAATCCAATAGACTTCCAATAAAACATGGCGATGCAAATGCATTTGGCATTCAAACACAAAGAAGAAAGGGATTGCAAAAATATAACCATCGACTCAACCTTTTCTTAGGGATGAGGATTGAGATTTGTTGGTACTTTTGGTTTGATCTGAGTCTTGATGTTCCGTGTTCGCAAAGCCCAAGTCGATTTACACTGTTTAACATTGAAGGAGGCAGCATCGAATCCTTCATTCTCCACTGCAAGACATAGTGTGATACCTAGTGTGACACAGTAAGTCTTGATACTCATTCCCTCACACAATAACCAGGTCTTGTCATGCCCTATTGCTTCTTATTCCTTCCTCCCTATTCCTCCACTGTGGATTGACTCACCAGATGCACTGCATCTTAAATGATTGAAGACCTTGATGCTCAATTCTTTTTGAAATGCATTTGCTCCTTATTCTTAGGAGCATGTGTAGAAAAGCTGCTGAGGGTTCAAGGTAGCCTGAGAGTTGAAGGAAGCCTGAGAAATTCAGACTTCAAGGAAATCCTGCTCTTCTGATCTTGCATTTCCACTTAGACTGTTTGTGGGACGCTACTGTGCGCAATGGTCTGTCACGTTTCACCCACAAAATAAGCAGTCAATTCACTTTACGGTATATTCTGTGAAGCGCTTTGAGGCGTCTCAAATACATGATAATGCAAGGATTATTATTATTATTATCCAGTCTGCGAAGCTCACTGCACCTTGAAAGTTGAACCGTCATAAAGACTTGTGGCAGTCTCTGTGGAAAACACACCCATTGTAAAATCTGGATGAACCCAATATCTTTGTTTACAGTTTGTGTTGTGATTATCTGAATCTTTGGACCAACATTCACATTGTCCAATGTTATTTCCTTGTGTACAAGGGGAACGTTGTGAATTGAGCAGCATTACGCCCAGTGGACATTGGCCTCGGAGATAATAAGTTTCTCTAATCATAGGGACTTGTCGAGATGCTAGAAGCACTTTTGTATTGCTCTCGACATTACCGGAATGGAATCGCAAATACTATAGGTTTGATATGGATCAGCCTGGAGTGACTGATTTTAATTTTCAATACTTTGGGGTTTCTTCCTTCCCTAAATGTTCCTCTCTCATAATTTATATTAGATAAAGATATTAGTCCTTCCACTTACAATTTTTCGTTAGTTTGCACTGCTCTCCTTTGATAAATTTACAAAGGTAGAATCAATAGCTTTTATGGTGGTAGTGATTTCCTTCTGGCAAATAAAAATTTAGGGCTTCATTTTGGGGAGGAGTAGGGGGGTCCATTTTTTTTTGCTAACAGCTTGTGACCGAAGGGGTGAATGGAATTGATGAGAAGGTCCGGAGGCGCAGAAGAATTATAGATTCATCCTTTGAGGTTGTGGGTACCAGTTGCCAAATATAATATTGCCAACCTTCTGGCTGGAGGCAAGGCAGGACTTTATGTCTCCACTTACATTCTTTGGAGATGTGTAGTGAATGTTCTCATTCTAGGCTGTCCCTCCTGTGCTGGCACTATCTTAGCATTTTATAGCTGTTACATTATGTTGTAACTGATGGCTTGGAAGCAAGTGAGTCAATCTATGTTGACTCATCCTCCCGTCATCTCTTCTCTGACAGTGAACTTCACATTGAACTTTCAAATCAATATCTGAGTGGTGAGGACATAACGCCAGGGAAGAACTTGTATATTGTAGGTGACCCTCCTGGTAGATCCTGGACCCTGATTTGCACAACCATTGAAGTGGACAAACACATGGGTGAGGGTACACCAGAGGACATTAGGAGATATAGACTCACCACCAAGACAGGAAGAGCCAGAAAGCAACATCGCAAGTTGGGAGCATCAGCATGAAACAAAAGGGATGAAGGGAGAGATAAAGATAAAGAGTGGGGGGAGGCATTCAAGTTCACTGAGGATATACAACAATAACAACAACTTGGATTTATATGGCATCCTCCACGCTGGACAGTGTCTCAGAGCGAAAGGAGAAAGATCTTTACTTATCAATCGGCTGCATAGGAACAAAGCCAGGCTTGGCCTGAAAAAAGACACTGAGCAAAAGGGAAAAGGTTGGAAAATTGGTACGAGAGATTATAGGAGATTCACTCCATTTTAAAACCTACTTTTTAATTCTGAGAGGGTTTTCCACATCCTGATGTTGTGAGTTGGACAGAGGCAATGTGGAGTCCAATGTCAGGGTCAGAGGAATGTGAACTCTCTTTTCATGGATGCTCAGTGATTGGAAGCCGATTTGATAACAACGTTTAAGAGAGAAGTAGATAATTATTTGGGGAGGACAACCTTACAGGGCTATGGGGAGACAGCGGGGGAGTTGGATGGAATTGGATAGCTCTTTTCAAATAGCTGACACAGACACGATGGGCCGAATGTCCTCCTTCGGTGCTGTATAATTCGATGACATCGGAACTACTGTATAGCTGCAAATACCTGAGCCACCACTACTAGCAGGAACAAGATGATACGTTTGGTGTTCTTATGAAGGGACTGGCTAGTGTCTCATAGGTATCTCAATGTCCATTTGGCTTGGGCTGAATTCCTCCTGGAAACCAGATGATGGACCATGGAATCACGTGGTCCTGTTAAACCGGCTTTAACTTTCTATATTTGACACCATCGCAGTGAACTGCCCAGCTTTTAACTGGACCTCCAGATATAGAAGGAACACATTCTTTGTGACGGAGCCCCATGGGCAGACTCCCAACCCAGCCCGGTCGCCAGCCTGACTTCCAACTGCTTGCCAAGTTTAGATGCAGAACTTCAGCATTCTTGAGCAAAACAATAGGAGCTTTTTGCCATACAGAATATGAGTTATCCAACATAATGGGCTTTCTTGTGAAGACAGGCCTTTGCATAGAACTGATAGGCAGCTTTAATCAGACAAATGTTGGTCATACACAGCAATGTCTTCAGTTACTGGAAGAAATACAATGTGTTACAGATGGTGAATATCACAAAACTTGTCTCAGTATACTCGCTGTTTACTGAAACAATCTCAGAACTGCAACTGAGGCAAAATATAGATGGTGGAAGTGGTAGATTAGCAGAAGAGTGAAAGAGGTCACCTCAGAGATACACAAGAGGATGGGAGAGTTCTCTGATAACCTTTGCCTTACATCTGTCTAGCGCCAGTGCAGGTTCCGATGCTTAACATGTGTGTGGGGGGAAGGGAGGGGGAGAGCATCATGCAATTTTGTAGCACGTGCAATGAGGTTGTGGCACATGAGGTGACGGTGCATGTCACGTGTGATGATAACCGCACAGCGCAATAGGGAGGAACGAAATAGAGACCAGGCAGAGCTGTCAAGGGCAATGAGTAAAATATCCCGTTTCCCCCCGACGCTCCCCAAGCCCCCCATTTTCACTAGTCTGCCTGTCCTCGTGGCATTGCTAAACATAACATCAATTACATAAGCCTTTTCTAGTCTGTGATCAGTGTTTAAGTGAAATCGGTATTTATGAAGCGATTTGTTTTACCTTCTGTTTAAATCGGCTTTGTTTCGTGAAGTGTTTTAAAATTAACTAATTTCTAATCCAACATCAGCAACAACGACAGCAACAACTACAGTCTCTGGTGGATCACGGCCAACAAAGCCCCCCACTCAACCTCCGGGTCCTGAGCCTACCCACACTGGGTCAACGACCTTGCCACAGGCCTCTTCACCTGCAATTAAACCCACAGGGGCTCAAAGTAGCACTACCAAGTCACCTGGATCTGCGGGTTCCACCACAGTAAAGTCCCCAGGTCCCGGGCCTGGTCCTGGTACTGAACCTGTCACAGGTAGGACTACGAGCTCCAGTGGCCCGACGTACCACCCACCATCTCCAGGAGTCACTCCGGACTCAACAGCTAAGCCAGGGCCACCCGATGGGACAGCAACTGGATCACCAAGTAAGCTACCTGGGAACTCATACTTTCTAGTCCTTGTCCAAACATGGGTACGCAGTCTGTAGGCACCGCTACAGAGAGTGGATCCCATCTTCTCCTTGACTGTACTTCAGATCCTGGCATAAGCTCTATCATTCAACCCTTGCTTAAACCTCCTTGTCTGGGTGCTTTTTATTTTTCCTACGCAAACCGATCCAGACTGGACTAAAATGATTTAACTTTTCTCTTTTTGGTATTGAGTATTACAGCATTCAGCATCTCTCTTCTCTCCATTGAGAGCTAAATGCACTCGACTGATTTGATGCTTTTTTCCGATTTATCACTTCTGAGCAATACTTCACATCAAATGAGCTGATTGCTACTATTGCTTCCGATTGTCTGCTTCAACTCTCACTGTTACTGAAATCAACTCCTTTTCTCGCTTGGAGCTAAACACTTTCCCAATGGTCTTTATGGAACTTTAACCCTGTATCGTGTTTGTTATTCCCATCTGTACCGTTTAACATCACTGCCAACTCTGAGATGTCTATTGGTGACTAATCCTAATTGAGGGTGACTTTTACCATGGGTTGAGGAAATGAACTCACGCTTGTTTTTCCGGGGTCTCTTTTGGGTTTATTTTACAGGGGACGATAATTTCCTGTACAAAGCTGTGTTCACCAGCTCTGGTAAACAACAGTAAAACAACCTTGCAATATCATTCTACCTGATGCATTTATTCTACATTCTACTACAACACTACTACTACTACAACTTGGATTTATATAGCGCCCTCCACGCCGGATGGCGTCCCAGATCGCTTTACAGTTTCGGATCCCGGGGCCGAGCCAGGGGGAGGGGGAGGAGTTGGGGGGAGGGGGAGGAGCCAGGGGGCGTGGGGGGAAGGTGACCAAAGGCGCGGTCGAAAAGAAAGGTCTTCAGCAGAGATTCACATGACACAGAGCTATTGGATACCTTTTCTTTCCATTATCTACTGCAATTATGGGCCACTCTGATATCCACAGCTATTGTGGTGAGCAGGTCATGCAAGGCAATATTTTTGGTGCCCTTATTGATCAGTCACCCAACTTGCCTTTGGATGTGCCTCCGAGATTCTCATTCAATATACTTGTAAGACCCCTCGGGATAGCACAGAGCGCTACCCATCGGGTTGCCCCCCCACCCCTCCCCCAACTAAGTGCCAGGTGTTTGATGCACATTCAGCTCCCAGAACCCCAAAGCCATCTCTGCAAGACTGCCTGCCAACAAGTACTTGTCCTTAACACAAGGAGGGGGAAAAATGTGTCTGATGACAGATGTTTGCTGGTAGCTATACAGCAAAAATCCCTAGGTTAGTGCAAACTGGATCTGAACTTTGCATATGCGTTGTTTTAAAGCTATAGGAACAGCATCCTGACAGCCACGATAGCATTGTCTACAATGTCTACAGGGATATATAGCAGAAGAAGAAGGCGACTCATCTACCAAACTCCTGGATCTTCTCAAGAGTGTTTCATGGCACACTTTAGTATGTTGGAATACATATTTATTGAAATTGGTACAGATTTATGTCTTTGTTTACTTATTCTCTGGTGGGGCAAACTCTCTGGTATTTTGCCAGTTCTTGTTGCTATTATCCCCTTTCTGGGGATTTCTCTGTTACCAGAAACATTTTCTTTGGGACGACTTTGACTTTTCCGGTACCTGTAAAAGAGACGACAAAGGTCTTGATTTTTACTCACACACGAGGAAGATGGACTGGTGAGATGGTGAAGCTGTAGGTCAGAGGAGGAAACAAAGAAAGAAGGGATCACTGTGGGGACAACTTGAACGCATTCATTGAAGAGTGAAGAACACAGAGAATGTTATAGCCACTGAGTGAAGATCATCACTGGAAAACTTACTTGTGAAGCACAGAAACACAGACAGGAGAGATTTGGGCAACAATTTCAGTTCTCTTCATAAGATAGGTTTGGTGAAGTAGGCCCTTTGGCCCAATTGATCTCATCCTTCCATCTTTCTATACAAATGCAACTCCATCCTCCCAACATAGCACAGAGCTGTCCCAGCATCTCTAGCCTCAACCATCGCTTTCCTGGACACAAAGTTTGTTAACTTGCAGAACTTGGTAGCAATTATCAACCTGTTTTTAAACCCAGAAATGGCATCAGTTTACTTATTCAGACGTGTTTATGTGATGGTTATTTTGACCCACCGAGGAGGTGATGGCCTTGACATGAGGCTGTGATGTCTTCGAACTATCCGCTGCCCAGTTTGATGAGAAGAATGCTCTTCATTTGTGTTTTCACCCAAACAGTTTGAGTTTGGCTTTGCACGAAGATTCCAAGATAAATTACCAGAATTTACATAGGATAATCCCTAAATATATTATATTTTGAAGCAGTTGTGCTTTTTGATACAAAACAAAAAGGTAAGGCATTTTTCTGTATGTCTCTTTAACTGATATATATATAGATATAGTTTATACATAAATAGTTGGGCTGATTTAATAAAATATTAATGCTCTGGGATCAAAATTGTGATAACATCACAGGTATAATACCACAAACCACAATGTTGACCCTGTTATGTTTAAATACATATACAAATATGGCTATGTGATAACATAAATATAAAACTATTATAAAGTCTTTTAAAATGGTTTATCAATGTAAAACAAACACATTGGAACTCTAACACGTGTCTAACTCTAACATGTGTCCTGTTGGTCGGCTCATACTTGGCAATGGCTGTAGCAGTAGTGTTGACTTGAAGTGGAGAAGGGATAATGGATACCTTGATTGTTTTTTTTTGATGACAACAATTTCATTTATTCTCCACTGGACCCAGAGCAGAAATGGCACTTTTCTGCTCCAGGGTCAGCTAGAGGGAACAAATCCCCAACCAGTCATCTACTTTTAGCTGACATCCCTCACCTTGACCCAACGAACATATTTTCCACTTTCTTAGCAAGTTCAAGGTGTGCGAGCTACTTTGTGCTGATATTGTACCAGATTTATAGGGTGATACTGGATTCGCACACTTTTGTTGTGGTGCCAAATAGTCCTTCATTTCAAGGCACTTCACCAACTGCAAATTCTAGTTCTGAATCAGTGAATTATAGTGCCATTGGTGTCTTCTCGAACTCTCACTCCTGTTTGCCACAGCGCCAAGTTCTGGAATCACCTACCTACCTCAGCAATTGCAGTCGCATTTCCACGCTGTTTAAATGGGAATAAGTGTATGTCCCAGCAAAGAGTGTGTGTTCTGGTCAACAATCCTCCAAATAAAATCAGTCAATCACTTCATGGCTGTCTGTAGGGATGTCATTTACGCTAATTCGCTGCTGAGTTTGTCTACAAAATACAGTCACTAAACTTCACAGTAAAATCCCATGAGGTGCTTCGAGATGCCTCGAAGATGTGATAAGATGCTTCAACGGACATAAGGATTATTATTTATCTTGTTCCCCAATTTGAAATGGGACAAAAGTGCCTAAGTTACAAAACATTCAGAAGCAAGGTCCCTTGTTGGCTGGGAATGGTCAGCCGGCATTAAAAATATTCAACCTTAAACAAAACTCACAAATCACGGTTAATACCATTGGAAGGTAGAAGGTATTGCAAGAGTGTTTTCTAGCTTGTTAGTCATGGTTGGTCACAGTATATATTGCATGAATCTTGTCCTTGTGTCTAATGAGTAACTAAACCTCATTGTTTTGCACTTTTCCAACTGTTAAGCACTTTAACTGAGTGAAAGTAATATTTACTTTCCCATAGAGATTTCGTATCTCACTTGTTTTTATCTCGTAATTATCGATAACGCTGATAAGTGTTAAAGTGTTTACGCTTTTTACATAACATTACTGTTATGTAAGTGATAAGTAATACTGGAGGTAAGTAATAAGAAATTTGAGTGGGACAGGATTATAAATGGTGCTATGAGTGGCATATTGTGTATTTTTAGTTTTTTCTCCACTTTCGGTATCTCGGTCTCTCTTCACTGTCCTTGGTAATTTGCTGTCACCCCCAGCTCTAGTCCAAATTCCAGCGCTCTACAAATATAATTTTGTATTGTATTGCATTCAAACATTGCTGAATATACTGAATAAACTCTACCCTCCTGATTCTCCTCCCTCTTTGAGAATGAAAACTCCCTGCATTGAGAACTATGGACACATGGTTTTGATAGAGTCAATGAGGAGACATTGCTTCCACTGGTCGGTCACTCAGAACGAGAGGCCATTAATTTGAGAAAGATCGGGAGGAAGCAAAGGTGGGAGATTTGGAAAAAAAAATTATACACAAAGAATGTGGAATTCTGTGTGCGGTAGTCAGTCGGGGCAGAATGCATATTAGCTTCCCAGAAGGAACTAGATAAATATCTGAAAAGGGGTCATTTGCTGTCAATTCCTGTGGTTCTAAACTCATCTCCATCTATCCGTCCACATTTCTGTAGTATCTGAACAAGAACGAATGCAATTATGTGGCAGAGGTTGGATAAAGTATGAAGTAAGTTTGTTGAAATGGGAAATGCTCTTTTGCAGGTTCTTATCCAACTGTTGACCCGTCGCTGGTATATGGAGTAAAGGACATGGTGGCTCTGGGCGTCCCCTTGGCAATACTGTTGCTTATTGCCCTTATTGTCATTGCAATCCTTCTACGCAAAATCTCAAAAGGTAAAATGGAGTGGAAGCGGATCAGGAAACTTTCTGTCGCCAAGAGAAATGCTGTAAGTATCTACATTTGGCATCTTAGGTTCAGTTAAATTTTACATAGCATCATATTGATTGTACAAGTATAAAAAGTCCATTTGGGCCAACTAGTCCTTTACCCTTGCCTATAAGGCTTTTATTTTGCCTTAATGTTTTACGTTTCAGTCTTAAATTTGTAGTCGTTTCATTTAAAGAAACCGTGGAAAACCAGCTTTTGAATTAAGATTGATTTAAGAATGTTCTGCCCATTTCAGGCCTGTTTCGCCTCCAACAAAGTATACAGTCAATTTACTTTACAGTATATTCTGTGAAGCACTTTGAGACGACTCAAAGATGTGATAAGGCGCTATATCAAATGCAAGGATTATTATTATTATTATTACCTTTTAAGACAAGTTTTAAGACAAAATGGTCTTAGGCTAAGACTAGTTGAATATACTAACACTTGTATTTTTACAAGAATACAAAAGTGCTGTTTATTATTCTTTCCTCGACTTCAAGGATACTGTAACATGCACCAAATACTTCTTTTGTGTGTAATTATATTACTTGTGGAGCATTATTAACTTTGCCCTCTTGTGAAAGTAGTGACAACTGAGGATAGTTTGTGGTGATTCACTATTAAATGCGATTCACTAACTCAAATAGATCTCTTCTTGTTCTCTCTTACAGTTTGGTGGAAGTTCAAACTCCACGAAACCCAATGGACTGCAGTTTGTGAATGAAGGGTACTTAGAAGATGATAAGCCAAGTGGATTGGAAAAGGGAATTCTGAAGTCTAGTTGGACACCAACTACTAATGAGGCATCAATCACGGCCCTGGCTGCTGCCCTGGAACCCAAGTTAGAGGCCAGCGTTCCAACTAAAGCCTCGGAGAAAAGCAAACCCCAAAACAACAACAGTGAAGACAATGAAGGTGACGGTGACAAAGAGGTCAAATCCATCCTCACCAAAGAAAGGAAGTCAGATGAAGGCTACAAGGCCGTGTGGTTCAGGGAAGACATCGATCCAGAGGCAAAGGAAGAGCGTGTTATAGAGACAGGTGATGATGATGACGCAGAGGAAATGGAGGAAGACAAGCCTGGTAGAAATAGGGGGGTGTCATTTGCACCAGAGGATGACAATGACGAACAATCCTATCAACTCTAAAGAGATTTAAAAGACTGAAACCAACAAGTAGAAATCAGAAATCACTGTTTATATTTTATGAAAGAAACGGACACATGCTTTGAGCTATCTTTCCACTGGGATCAGGAGTACCTACCTACCTGTTTGCCGAGTGTGTGTGTGTGTGCGCGTGCGTATGTCTGCCCACAGCTGTGATTTGCTGCTACATGTCATATTGATCTACAATCACTTTGAAGTTGGTTTTAAAGATATGCCCATTTTCATTGAAAAATAACTTTCAAATGTTATAATAATAATAATAATTGCATTTGTAAGCACCTTACCACTTCCCTGAGATGCCTCAAAATGCTTCACAGAATATACTGTAAAGTGTACTGTGTATTTTGAAGGCAAAATGCGGCAAACTTATTTACCACTAGCCAAGTCCACATTGCCCCTAAACAACCGTACAAACCGAATCCAAAAGCCATCTGGAATCTTTCGAAACCAGATTTCCTTCTTAAATACTTCTAAAGGTTGGAGTAAGGATTAGCGGCTGTTTACATCAAGGCTGGTTTGCGTGGACATTTCTACAACCATACGTGATGATGAAGAAAGTCTAACCCCAATGCACAATGTTTCTATCAATTGATTTTAAGGTAACTGTATCCCACTTCTGTTCTGTAATGCACTTGCCCCAAAATGTGAATGCTTCAAAGGTGATTATATGCATATTAACGCAGTCTAATTTGCAGTATTTCTTATGAAGGAATTAGAGTTGGGCACATGTGGTCTCCTGGCCTTGTCCATGGCTGATCTGTAACTCAGTCCCATTTGCCTGCCTTTTCTGCTAACCCTTTGATACCCTTGCAAGCCAGGTACATGTCTATTTGTCTACAAGTGGTTGTCTGCTTCACGCTTAAATATTTCCAAGGACTCTGCATTATCAGTCTCAATTTCAATAGCCTACAACTCTCTCAGTAAATAAATGTCCTCTGATTTCGCTGCTAAGGAGTCTAGCTCTCGTTTTTCAGATTAGATTGGCTCTTTTTTTATATCAAGTGGACAACCGGCCAAAATCCCAATATGCTCCTTGCCACTAACCCACGAGGACATTCAAACCAAAGTCCAAACGACTGTAATTTCATTTGATTCCTAAGATATTCCTTTAGTTTGCTCCCAATTCACGAACACTTAATGGGAGGTATCATTCAAAGGGAACTGGTGCTTGAAATCCAGTGAATAACAGTGTCCGATAAACCCAAAATATTTTATAATAGGAACAGTTCCTTTAACCCGGAAAGGGTTACCAGTTGGAAGCATCAAGAAAGAATCCTTGTTCTTTAAAGCACAGTAAGATGCTAAGCTAAATGGATCTGCCACCGGGAGAATGGAACTGGTCCTTTCAAACCCAACTTCCAGGTGCACAACTAAAACCTGTGGTCATTAGGTTTTGTTCTTCGTTCTCTTTAAAATTGAAGCTGATTTTCGACCGTTACTAAGCATTCAGCTGCCTGTTATTAATGATTATGTTTTTGAAGACAGTGTGCAATAGAATGATCGTGTTTGACACGTCTGCTTCTGAAGTAATAAATTCATGTGTGACACTACTGCCCTACGTGTGGATTTATTTCTGTAACCAACATGCAGACTTTACATGTAAGATGTCCGTGTGGCGAAATATTGTGTTATTGCTGACGTACAAATCTTCAAGTAAATATAATATCATTGTTTTGGGATCCATAGAGCCTTAGAAATTTGTAGTGCAGAAGAAAGGCTGTTTGGCCCATCTTGTCTGTGATGGCTCACTTAAGGGCAATCCTATCAGTCCCATTTATCTGACCCTTCCTTAAATTAACTTCCTTTTAGATGTTTATCTAATTCCCTAATCCCACATTACGGTTAGGAATACCTTAGCAACAAATATCAGATTCAGAGGGGAGGAAGGAGTGGGTACAAGGCTGGCTGCACAGTCTCTATGATATGGCTCCTTCCGCTCTGCAAGTGATGGATGATTGATTCCGAAGCTCATCCATTGTAGGGATGGAGCACAAGTAACAGTATGCAATTTGGAGCTCTGAGACATTCCCTCTTCTCTCCCCTCCCCCCTTTCCTCACACACACACACACACACACACACAAAGTAGCGTTTGGAAAATAGCAACCGTCTGACGCGCACACACACAGTGGACCTTGATCAGGCAACAAGGGCAGTTTAGGTTAAACATCAATAAGTTGTTGTGTATACATCCTGTCACTCACCTGCTGGTCTCTTCAAATATAAAAATGCTGGAAAATTGATACTAATAAAACGACAATGTCTGTCTGTCTGTGTGCACTTCAAGAAGGATCTCAATAACCGATTGATGTAGAGACGTGATTTATGCCTCACCAGAAAGATCTTGCATCTGCGAGTGACATGGGCATATTTGTTTTTGGGTATCTCCTATAGTTTATGAGTTATGACCTATAATATACTTCAGTTTTGTGNTTTTTGCTGCAGTTAGACCTGGTGGCCGCCAAATCAAAGTGGGGGTTGTGGCATCGTGCAGTTACACCTGGTGGCCGTGCCACCTGGTGGCATCCTGCATCACAGAGCACGCACGTAACCAAGCGGTGGCGGGAACAAAATAAAGGACACAGGCGAAGCTAAGCCGCAGCAACAACAACAAAATGACATTTTAAAACGCCTTTCAGTTAAGAGCAATCCTATCAGTCTCATTCATCTTCAATAACAACTTTTAAAAACGCAGTGGATGGGTACTTGAGGAGGACGGGTTTGCAGGTTATGGGGAAAAGGCTGGGGAATGGGATTTTCATTACATTGCTCTTTTCAAAGAGCCGGCACAGACTCGATGAGCCGAACTTCTTTTTGTGCTGTACTTTTTTGTGCTTGAAGGAAGCAAGCGACGGAGCAAGGCAAAGGGATTTTGGGATGGATTTTCAAAGGGTGGTGGCAGAGAGGCTGAAGGCCCGGCTGCTGATGGTTGGGAAGATCAGGCAGGAGACATGGAGCAGGCCGGAGCCTACTGAATGGAGGGAGCGGACAGATTGATAAGGGGCAGCAGGTCAGAGATGTAGGAGGGGGCAAGGCCGTGGAGGGCCTTGGAAGTGAGGATAACGATTTTGAGTTCCACCCTCTAAGGGATGGGGAGCCAGTGGGGCTGGGCGAGAGTGGGGATGGTGGGGTCACAGAGCCTGGTGCAGGAGAGGACATAAGCTGCAGAATTCTGGATGATCTGCAGTTTGTGGAGGGAAGAGTTGGGGAGGCCAACAAGGAGGGTCGAACAAGATGCCAAGGTTCCTGACTGGCTTGGTGAGGTGGAGTGTGCATCCATGGATGCTGATGCTGCCTGTCTGAGATGCTGAGGCACTGGCACGAGCCAATCAGTAGGGCGTCAGGAGGGTCTTGCTCACATTCAGCTTTAAAAAGTTGGCGCTCATCCAAGACTTGATGTCATACTATCATACAGACATTCTGTCAGGACGTCAGTTGTCTTGGAATCGAGGGTGGAGGCAGATAGACAGAATTGGGTGTCACCCGCTTACATGTGGAAGTTGACCCCATGTTCGCGGATGATGTCACCAAGAGGGATCATGTAGAAGTTGAAGAGGAGGGCACAGAGCCCTGAGGAACATCACACGAGACTGTGCGAGGGCTGGAAGAGAAACCATTGGCGGAGACAAATTGGAGACTGTGTGAGAGATAAGACCTGAACCATTCAAGGACAGAACCTTGAAGGTTGAGGTAAGAGGAGAGGTGGTGGACGAGGATGGAGTAGTCCACCATATCGATCTTAAGGGCTGAAATTTCTGCCTTCTCTTCTGGAAATAGAGTAATGGATTATCAACAAAAGAGCACAACAGAGCAAGCAAAGGATTTATCTCCGTAACAGATCTGATGTGACAGGCATTTTTGGCTTTGGATAGTGATGGTGAAGTGGCTTTGGTAATTGATCATTCATTCACCTTAGAATGGGTGGGTCTGGAATAAATGACAGCTACTACCTCCCAGAATTCACTCAGGGTGCAAGGTTTTCAGTATGTATCCCTGGCAAATATCCAATTGGCAACACGCAAACAACTATCAATTGGGCCATATCTCCAACATGGCAGCTCAGTGGGTCAGGAGTTAAACTGTTCAGAAGTTAAATTCTATGGGTATTGAGAAGGGGTGAGATTGGCGTGGAGTTTTATCTCCACCTTTGTTTGGTTAATTTGAACCTAATTCCAAATTATTATTGCTTTCTTATCGCACTACTCAAAGTACTGTATAAGATGCACTATCACCACACACCCAAGGTGAGAGCGAAGGAGGAGGAAGCATAATTCTTCACTCAATCTCTGTGACCTCCTGCAACCCCTCTCCGCCCAGCCAAACCCTCCACGATGCCAAAGAGGGTTGGGATGGGGAGAGAGATGTCTGCAAGTATGGGCAGAATTGGCTTAAAGCTCAACAGCAACAACAACTTGTATTTATGTAGTACTCTTCATGCGGTAAGCAAATCAGATAACTAGGGAGGTGCGAGGGCACGAAGGAATTTGAAAACGAGTGAGAGGATCTTGAAATCGTTCCTGATGAGGAAGGGGCATTGGTGGATAGGGCAGGGGACGAAAAAGTGCTGTGCAAAACACTTTGAGACATTCCCTTGGTATGAAAGACTATGTAAGTGTAAATTGGTATCGTGGTTTCCGAGCTATGAAGATGAAGCTAATGCAACAGGTTGCTTCTTGCTTCTGCGAGTGAATCACAGAGCGATTGGTTTGGTCCTGTTACATAGTCACAACCACACCCAATCTAAACAAGACACATGACTAATCATCGTCAAGAACACATCACCAAACATTCCTCGGCTCTTTATCATAAGAGGCCTGAAATTCTTCACTTTTATTTTGCCTCAAGACTGATTGTGTTAAAAATTAAGATTGTGCATTATTTCGGGAGGCGGTGAGGGGTGGGGGTTAATCCCTTATTTTGAAGGCTTAAAAATGATGAGGGGTTTTGATAGAGTCCATGGGGAGAAATTATTTTCACTGGTCGGTGAGTCAATAACTTGAATATCGATTTAACAAAGTTATCAAGGGGGTAAAAGGGGAGATGTCATTTTTTTTTTAAACACAGCATTGTCAGGAATGTGGAATGACCCTGCCAGGTCCAGTGATTGAGGCAAGAACCATATTAGCATTCAGGTAAAATATCGAAACAGGAATAATCTGAAGCGGTACAAGGGGAAGTCAGGTAAATGGGACTGAAGGGATTGCTCTTTCAAAGAGACAGCATAGACACAATGGTCCGAATGGGCTTCTTCTATGCAGTAAAAACCACAACTTGCATTAACATAACGCCCTTCACTCGCGGTAGCGTCTCGGAGCAATTAACAGTGGCAGAACTTGGTGCTGAGCCAGGGAGAAATTTTACATTTTACATTATAGCTGATGAAGCTGAGTCTAGTTTGAATGAGGATTAGAGAAAAGACATGAAGAAAGAAGATGTAAAGGAGTTTGTGTAAATGACAGAGAAATGGAATTGGAGTAAATGGGTCCAGTGAAGGACCTACCACAGTAAGGCTTTGATGGGCTTCCTTCTATGACCTTAAAGCCAGATTTACGTGTGACCACAGTTTAGAAATCCCATCTGATAAAACACATAATCGTCCTCAGTGAAGAGTTATATTTCTTCACTCTTTAGAACTAATTCCATACCTAATCTCTCCCACTCCTCCTCCTCCTGAGATGAGATAAAGTTGTTTTTGCAGATATTTCAAAGAAGGACAAGACAGGATGAATGTTCTGTTACAAAACAGGAACTTACTTTATCTGGCAGCAGTTATGCTGAGTTAATAGGATCTAGGGGCAGCAGCTACGAAAAGCATAAGACATGAAGCAGTCAGGGTCACACGAGGTCAAGGCCTGCAACAGAGAATTGGTTGGAACCTTAACTGTGTTGAAACACTCTTTCCATTGAAGTTGCATTGCTGTGGATCAGTGTATTCGATTGAGGTAGGTGTAGCTTTCAGGTAAAACAGTAAAAATATGAGGTCAAAATCATCCCACCTTGGTGAGAAGCAGAAAACTGTCTTAATAATAATAATAATCCTTGCAGTTGATATAGCGCCTTACCACTTCTTCGAAAAATCAAAAAGCGCTTCACAGAATATACCATGAAGTGAATTGACTGTATATTTTGTGGACGAATCGGGGCAGTCAATTGCGCACAGCAGTGTCCCACAAACATTTATGGATTGATGGGTTCTGGTTTAATTTCAAACTGGCTCCTCTTTAGAGATGACTGCTGTGTGCATGTAGTTGGAACTACTCATATCGGCTCATAGAATCGTAGAATTATACAGCACAGAAGAAGGCGTTTCGGCCCATCGTGTCTGTACCGGCTCTTTGAAAAGAGCCATGCAAATCAATCCCTCTCCCCCGCTCTCTCCCTATAGCCCTGCAAACTTGTCCTCCCCAAATAATTGTCTATAATTGCTTATCTGTTAGAGTTTAAACTCACCACAAGGCGGCAGGTTAGTTTGTGGGTTGTAATACACAGCGATGAATCAACGGTTTCAAGACCTGTAGATACCACAGAAATTCCTCAGAAGAACATCCCCAC